GACCTTGTTTTCGCAACTTGGTCATATTGGTAGGAAGACTTATAGGAACTCACCTTGTCCTGAGTCCATTGTATGCATAATTATTTCGAAAGCTTCACTTGTCCATTTGACGAGTTGTAATATGGTGCTACGAATGGCGAAACTCACTGATGACGCCGACTACGATGCCGGCGAAACGTTTGGAAATGTACTGCGTTCACGATCCGACTTTGGAAATAATTATGCATACAATGGACTCAGGACAAGGTGCGTTCATATAAGTCTTCCTACCAATATGACCAAGTTGCGAAAACAAGGTCAAACAACTTCCTTATTATTTATTTAACCTTGTTTTAACATGACTCTTACAGCTCGCCACTTATGTTTTCTCGGAGCCTTTAAATTGTGATTCTTGATTCTTATCTTATTTGTATTTTGTTCCACAAATTCTGCATATTTATTATTGATTCTGAATAAGCATTCCCGATCCTTCCTCAGCAGGGCTCTCGACCTCAGGCACGGACTTTTTCTAGTTTAGCTATTAGCATGATTAATTCACTTGAAAAACTTAGACAAAGACACTTGTATAATAAAACTTAATCGCATTCGTTTTTAGGATGTTTACTAATGTTTTTAGTAGTATATCTTTTGAAAAATTTAACATTGTATCTTTCCTTTGTACAGGCCAGATGGTACCCGGTTGCGCAACCTCGATGAAGTTTGTCTCTACTTTAAGAACTCGCATTTGGCGGCAGTTTCTTCTTCTTCTTTTGGCCCAGGCGGCATTACTCTGACGGCCTTGTCGACTTGCTTTAATTTTGACCCAACCGTCGACCCTTCACCCGATCTTGGTAACTCTGGTTCACAAGGACCAACTCCCGCCACCTCTCTTTCTGGTTCGTTGTCGAATCACAGTTACATCGCCGTCCCTGGACCTGAAGAAATTGTGGCTAAAGAGGATCAGACAAGCCCTCCTGGTGCTAAGCGTACCTTTAGTAAGCTATTCGCCTGTGTATAGTTACACTTAAGATCATTTTGCGTTTTTGTCTTATACGCTTATTTGGTCTCATTTTCATTTTGCATACTGAGCTATAGATATGCATTTTTATGCACTTTTGCCTTTTTACTAGAATGTTATTTTTGTATTTTGGAACGTTGTGCGATCAAGCCTTAAGCCAGAAGTGAGATTCGCCCCCTGATTTAGGTTTATTTGGACTTCATTATGATCCCTGGTTAAGTAAAAACCTTAAAATGGCTAGTTTTAGTTTTCATAGCCTGACAGTGTTTGCAGGAAAGGCAATCATTATTTTCTTATACTTTATATAAAATAATCCATCAACACACTTTTATTAGTGTCCTCGATATCGTATTTATCCTTATATTTGACACGGCTGAACCTACGGGCCAGTTCTGTTAGCCCTAGCATTTTTTTGAATTATTCTGCTAATACCTGCATCTACTATGCCTTCTTTCATAAATTATGGTCAGTCGGTGGTTGAGGTTGTCATTGCTCTTTTAGGCGACTAGTTATGATAGAATCGAACTTTATCGTAATGAAACTATAAAAAGAACAGATACGACGCAGACTTATAAGATAAAAATCGAAGTAGCAGTTATTTTTCTTTAACTTCAATACCTTTCCTAACGATATCGTGGATTTTTGCCGTACTGTCAATATCTTAAGACTTAAGCTATAGTGGTAATAGTGATGTGACTTAATTCTCGCTAACTTTGATGCTTTTTACACCTAAATGCGAAAAAGCGTTCGATTATGTGCATCTCTGTCATTCCTTTGATTAGTAATCATTTAGCATGCACCTGTAATGCGTCATTAATCCACCGAAAACTATTTATCCAGTCTTATAGTTCTTTCTTATTCGTTTTAGCGGCTTCTTCGATATGTCGTATCTCGTTTAATCCAAATGCTATACATGATGAGACGAAGCGCTCTAAGTTACTTAAAAAAGCAGGCACTCTTTCCCCTAAAGAAAATAAGGACGACAAATCGGAGATATCTTTAAATCCGGAGCAAGTTCTCTCATCTGGTTGGATGGCTCAGAATAATAGCGCTTCAAACACAGTACAGAAGCTCACTGTTGATAATAGTTCGTGGCCGAATATTAGGCCCGAAGAGCCTCTGACGTCCTGCGATTCTTTCCTAAATCCAACCGCTGGTGATGCAAGTAAAGCTCAGGCTCGCCATCAGTCTATCGCCAGCCATGCTTCTGAGGCCATTTTCCACGCTTACTCAGACGGATCTTTGAAAATCGTGCAGCCGAATGAATCTGAAATTGAGCGACATGAACAAGTTGTGAGTCTTCTCGAACGGGCAATTTTAGCTATTTGCAGCGCTGATGAAAATGCCGATTCGGTATCATTGTATTCAAAATACCGTGATTACCCACTGGCATCAGCAGATAATTCAACGACCGCATTGGATAAATCAACAAGCCCTGCACTTACATCTGCCCCCATTTCC